GAAGTTCAGGAAGTAGTGAAGCTGTGCATAAAGCCTATTAGACTGAGCACCAAAACACACTTGTAGCCAATCAGCAGTTAGGGGCGTGTCCACTCATGAGGGGGGAGGTGCCTGGGCTGCATAGCATGTTTGCGAATTTGGGGGCGGAGCTGTTAAGATAGGGGTGTGATACTTTTGGGTGGGGGCGTGTTTGCTTTGTTGATTTCAAATATCAACAGTGTTTCTCAGAAATCGCTTACTGTACCTTTAAAAGAGATTTATAGAGATTTTATGAGATTGTATTTATTTTAATTAATTTATTATTTTAAATAAAATTACATTTATTTAAATTAATGTTTATTTTAATCAAATATATTTAGTTGTAACAGTTCATTAAAAATGTTACAACCAAGCCCTTATGACCCCATTCGTTTTTTTATTGCACATCAAGGGATTTATGTTGAAAATTTGTTGTCATCGTAGTTTATGTGCTTGTCTTCTTATCAGATAAAAACATTATCCGCCTCAATTGAGCACAAATGTGTTTTGTGCACAATTTTAGAATTTATGTGCATCTTGGAGTTTCCATCCAGCGTTTTTTTATGGGATATCCCAAAATTCACATAAAAATTGTGACTGATATATATATCTAGTGACAACAAAGCTAGTGAGTGAATGTGACAGGAATACAGTACACACATTTGTTTTTGTGCTAATTTCTTTTGTCACTTTAACCCTTAAAAGCCCTTTGGAAAACAAAAGAATAGGAAGTATCATCAGCAAAACATGAAATGGCTCAGTGATTTACTGCAGAGCAAGTACTGAACACAAATATAAGCTTCACTGTCACTTGATGGTGGATCTGATGTAGAAGCTGTCAGCGATCAAAATATTGATTTTGAAGATGTTGAAAATGCTAGTTTTAAGAGTATGTTTGATGTCACGAATATGAATAATAGTTCACCCAAAAATGAAAATTATACCATGATTTACTCACCCTCAAGCCATCCAAGGTGTATATGACTTCTTTCAGATGAACACAATCAGAGTTATATTTAGAAATACCCTGGTTTTTCCAAGCTTTATAATGGTAGTGAATGGGGGGTGAGCACGTGAAAATTGCCCAAAAAATTGCATCCATGCATCATAAAAAATAATACATCCTTACAGCCTTCTGAAGCAAAGCGATGGGTTTTTATATATCGAAACTATATATCGTTGGAAAGGTCTAAGACTCAAGAATACATATTTGTTGATGATTTTGCAGAAAAAAATATATTTTGGAAGAGTAATGGATTAATATATGACTAGAGTGTGCATCAAAAAATCTGTATCATTACAGGAGTTTTCATCTTTGTAACAAAAAGTCAACAACCACACTTTTAATCATTCAAACTTTGATTTGCATGCTAAAAGTTCACAATAAAACATATATAATCTTGTATTTGTCAATAAAAAAATATAAAATAATATTAACCTCTAAAAAGTACATTATATATATTATCCTCTAAAAATATTATTATATTTTTTATCACCTTTTTTTATTACATCACATATTTTAGTAGTTATCATAAATTAGGTATCATTTGAAAGCTTACGAACTCAGAATTCATCCTGTGAAAACCATTTTGAAATTGAATGTTGCGTTACCATAGAAACGGTACTCTAAATTATTTTATCAGGCTCCGCCCCTTTTGGGCATAATCATGTTTCATAATTTATGATCAAAACCTTTTCTAATCATGACAAAACACATAGGCCTATTGTCAGAAAGGTCTGAGTCTCAAGGTTCGATATTTTGTGACAGAAGTGATATTTGGACAGAAATTTATTAATATGTTATGGCAGAATGCACACAATTAAATTCAATGGAATTCAATGTCACCCGGTGGGTATTTTTGGTATTACGCCTAAACAAAATCTCATGAGAACTTCAATGTTTGGGATATCAACTTCAAATTTGGAACACAACTTGGTTAGATATATGGCTTTGACTTTCTGTCATTTTTAGGCTGAAACCTATATTAATTTATATATATTTTTAATAAAAGAAAAATATATATTTTATTATATTTTCATAACAATAAACTTAAACTTCAATAACTTTTATATAATTTAATTCTATTAATTTATTCCACTTCAGCAATAATCTGCCAAGTGTCTTCTTTTAAAAGAGATCAACCGTAAATCTTTAGTCCAAAGGGTTCATGAAGTACAACCGTTTAAGTTTGGGTAGTGCATTTTCACGTCAACGCTCAAAAAGGGGGGTGACAGTTAAAGGGTTAAAACTTTATTAGCTATATATCTAGCTTCAGGCAGACGGCCGTACTCAGACGCGACGCATGAAGCAATGACTAACGTGGAAGCGCAGAGAATAGAGCAGAACAACACACCGGTCATGAATTAGAAGTCTAAAACGAGAAATTTGAATGATGTTTTATTTACAAAGTTCGGGAGGAGCACGTTCAGATAATTAACACGGGTGGAGAGCACTCAGCAATCAATGATAAGAGGTGTATATAGATTCCGCAGTCTCACCTCAATCCATTGTCAGTTTTGCAGCATCCCTCCACCACCCTTTCTCCACACTTCTAGTCATTTACATACGGGAGGGGAGGGGGGAGGGGGGAGGGGTACTCTGGGTTTGGGACGAAGCTCGGAGCCCTCCCCCCGGACAGCACGCCAAATACACATTAAACTTTACTCCCTCTAATTGTATGTAAGTGTGAACTCGTGAAAAGAGAAATGTCGGAGGATTTCGATATAAGAGAAGAGGAGCTTGAGTTTGTTTTACAGCCCAATTTGTTTAAACCGCGAGAGGCTTCAAAGCTTACGACACTCCTACATCCTACTACGCCATTCATTGCGTCAGGGGTTACTCTTGTGACGCAAGTCGACTGCGTACGGTCATCTGCCGGTAGCTTGTTATTATAGCTATAAAGTTTAAATTTGGATTTTTTTCTTACCCAAACGCATCGCTTTGCTTCAGAAGGCCTTTATTAACCCCTGGAGATGTATGGATTACTTTTATGATGGATGGGTGCAAATTTTTGGGCTTCTTGTGATTGTGTAGTACACATCCAAGTGAAATTTATAGTAGACAAATGTGGCTACCGTGTATCAAGTTTGGGAGCTCTAGCACAAACAACCACCAAGTTAATGATGCTCAAACAAAAAGTGTTACTACCATCCTCTGTATACTGTATACATCCCTTATATTTCCCCATCCCCTATATTTACAACTTTTCCACAGACTCCCTAGCACTTCCTCGCGGCCCCCCAGTTTGAAAACCCTGGTCTAGACAAACAGATCGAGACTCTCCTGCCATCATTAAACGAGCTTGGTCATTAGCTTTCACTAAATGGCCCAGGGTCAAGCCACGGGCGCGCTCGCAAACAGACCAACACTTCGCCGACACATAAAGAGTTTCACCCACAAATGCACCTGGAAGGTCCTCGGAAATGCTTTTAATGCACATCGATGTCTAATACACTTCACTGACAGAGCCTCTTGTGTGCAGGCCCGACCCCGTAAACACAGACCTGTATGAAAAGAGTTGGATGAACACATTAAACTGCAAGCAAAGTGCACATGCACTCCGCTTTCCAGCATCCTTTAATCATCGGCTGGGCCGTGCATGAGAGGAAAAGAGGTCACAACAGCGCTGTCTATTTAAGACCTATTGGGAATTTTAATGAGAAAGTGTGTTTTTGATGATGGGACGGCATCTTTTCATTTAGCCGAGTGCTGGCCAGGGGCTTTTATCCTGGCCTGTTATAGTTGGCTACTCTCTACCTGAAGCTAAAGGGTCACTGTATCTCTTCTCCATCAGAGGGGCTGTGGTTGGTGCATCAGTACAAAAACCTCCTCTAGGCCCTTTTGGATCCGCAGTTCGATGGGATGGATGGGTGCTAATGGACCTTCATGCAGACCGGGGAACAAAAGCACAAGGCCTTTCCTATTATAGAGCTTGCGCTCTCTATCAGTCTCGCGCCCTGTTGCACGCGCCTTGCTTTGACACTCGTTGTTGCCTCGGAGAGCGCGGTTGCCTGGCAACGGTTGAAAGCCGAAATCCCTGGGTAACTCGCCGCTTGCTGCCCCGACCTGCCTCCCATCCCTGCTCGCTCGCTTATTAACTTTATTGCATTGGGAAGAAAAATAAAGAGTATCTCATTTAAACGACCATAGCTATATAACTCGGCTGCGATTTATAGCATTGCCTTACATTATAAAAAAAAAAAGAAAAGAAAAAAAGGATGCTGTGCATGCAAAATATAGGCATGCGAGCGTTTATGAATGAGATGCATCATTTAGTGATGCCCCCCAAAAAAAACAATGATGCGCCTTCACTTAGCCTAGATATCCGGCTCAACTATATTGCTCAGTGTCTTTATGTAGTTTGGTGGTGTTATTTTTTTTTTTTTGCATACGTTGTTTTGTTGTCTTTATAATACTACTACTAATAATATAATAATAATAATATATGAAATATATAATATGTGAAATGTATAGGCCTATGATTTATTTAAATATATGATATTTAAAAATATTATAGGCTACTTTTAAAAATTAGAATGAAAAATATAGGCTAATAAATAATTGGCAAATTTAATAATAATCGAATTAGCATAGTATTATTATTATTATTTGTAGTAGTATACAGACGTTATATAATTGTATAGCTTTAATTTAATATTTTATCAGGTTAATCAAAATTAATAATTATTTTTTTGCATGTAGATGACTTTGTTTTGTTAATCTTCAATTAATATAAGTAGCTATAGACGTTGCGTAAGTATTCGAATTATTTAAAATAATACAAATAAATACAATATTTTTGAATAATTATTTGTATTTCATTTCTTTATGCATGCACACACATATCCACGTAAATCAAAATGCCAAATCCTTTTGTGTTGGCTTTCAGGAGAGTATCTTGGCACTTTTGTGCGCATTCTTAATTGATTTCAGAAAGGGTGTTACTTAGTATGTGTTGAGGAAGCATAAGAGGAGGAGGAGGAGGAGGAGGAGAGAGGGACTGGAGAGGGTTGCTTTGTATCAAGATCCGATGAAAGATAACAGGCTATTGCAATAAGAGGGCAAGAGAGGTGGGGGCAGAATGACGTTGATTCGGGGCTATTGATCTCTCCTTCCCCTCTATATGGGGTCAGTAGTTTGATCAGAGCGCGCGCAGGATCACACAGAAGAGCCACACACGCGCTTTTGCCATGTAACACGAAGCGGTGCGTATAGAGATATCCAACAGGACACTCATCACCAATCCGATCCCGTCTGTCTCTAAACTGATGACGGGAATAAATCAGATTATCCAGCAGGACAGGAGAGCGACACGTTATATCTCTGAAGAAAAGTAACTGGTGTGGATTGACAGATGATGGTACGGTCAGGATCAACAGATCTGATCATGAATCCGGTCCGAATCTCCGTGATGATGATGTTCTTCTTCGCTTCTGTTCATATCTCGTGCCCATCGCAGTTCCCCAGTCCTCTCATGTAAGTAGCCTACTTAGATGTTGTCTGTGTGGAAGAGCATCAGGGTTTCAACTGTTGATTAAAATGCATTTTCCTTTCATTCAGATCGTGCTGGATGCACGAGGCACAAACTATGTATTTACTTGTGTTTAACGCAGTTTTACCTTGCCTTGCCTCTATAATGGTCAATAACTTTCAAAGCTGAAACGTAAATGCAAACTTATACAGAATATACATTATTTGGGCTATGTTAACAGGCAAATGTTGTTTAAAAATAAAGCAGAGACATTCAATATTATGAATGAACCTGAATGATTAGGGTGAGGGGTCAGACATATTGCAGTTTCACATTATTGATTTGTTTAATGAAAAAAGCTTTCTTTCAAGTAATAGTTCACTTGGAAATGACAATTCTGTCATCATTCACTGACCTTTGTTCTCATGGGTCATTCTTGTTCCCATAATTTAAGATTTTCCACTTAACAAAATATTATTCAGCTCTTGATATTTAAGTGAAAATAGGGTCATACTTTATTTGACCTTTTTAAAGATGTCCAGGTTATTTGCCTCAATGTTAAAGTGCATTGTGTCTGTTAATGTACAGTATTATATAACAATATTCAACAGAAGTGCAATGTGAAGATTGTGTTTGCGAGAGAGATATGTGATCTGACAGATGTTTTAAAAAAAATCGTTCTCGAGTTGGCAAGACTTTTGTTAACCTGATGATATTTAAATTAGTCTTTAGCAGACACGTTTTATCTTATGAGAGAAGGACTGTAACTACCGTTGTGGATGTGTAAATGATTTTGAATTTGTACAGGAAACTCATATGTGGAGATAATTACTAAGACCCCACAGTACTTTTTTTGCACGTGCAGGACAGATGCATCTGACATGAATTGCCCTTATTGTCTGCAACTTCCTAAAAAGTGACCGTTTCACCAGGTGGTTGTGACAGCAGGACAAGAGAATGAGGCGTTTTCTCTCTGTTGCAGTCTTAACTTAGAAATCCATAAAATGTCATTTCTGAATGCAATAATAGACATAATTAGTGTATTTGTACATTGTGACTGGTCTCATTAATGCTTAAGAGCATTAATGCAATGCATTAAGATACCCATTTACAAAGATTATGTTGGACCTTTTGATTTGCCCACCTGTTTGTTCTGTTTGTCCACCGGTCTGCTGCTCTAGAACATGTATTCAATAAAACCTCTTGGGTGGCCTGAACTGACGTAGATTGATACATTTGTAATGGCCGTAAAAAACAGGGTACAATTTTCTTAAATGGGCTCTTCAGATTCCTGAGAATTTACGTCAATAAAGCCTTGCTTTAAAACAATGGGGGAGAAAAATACTATGCCTTTGTTATTTTCAATTACTGAAATTGTTTCTGTGAAAAGGTTACAGCAGCATAGTATTAGAGTGAATTGAAAATAAGGGGAACAATTTAAGTTGACTTAAGTTTGAACTACTTAACCATCTTCATTAGTTGTGAGAGATATTGTAAATTATTAGTTCATAAACACAAAAGGGGAAAATCTGTTGCATTGCAAATTTATATATACACAAATATATACACTGGCGGTCAAACGTTCCAACAACATTTATAATAATAAGAACCATTATTAATAATTAAGCACCAATAACAATTGATAATAACTCAGCACCAAATCAGCTTATTAGAATGATTTCTGAAGGATCATGTGACACTGAAGCCTGGAGTAATGATGCTGAAATGTTCAGCTTTGGCATCACAGGAATAAATTACATTTAAAAAAATAATAATTCACATATAGAAAATGGTTATTTTAAATTCTAATAATATTTCACAATATTAATCTTTTGACTTTTTTCTAATAAATTTAGCCTTGATGAGCATAAGAGACTTATTTCAAAATTGTAATTATTCCAAACGTTTGACCGCCAGAGTGTAAATCATTTTTTAATCAACTGTGCAATGCAAAAATGCATTGAGCCATAAACACTATTCTAGAATGTACAGCGGTTGTTGAGACCATTACTGTTGGAGAGAGAGAAAACATGCATCAAGACAAAAAACATCAAAAAAAATAATAAAACCCTTTTCGCTTTCCCTGCCATCTGTTGCCATCTGATACACTTATAAAGGAAGTGAGAGTACTCAATTACTAATCCACTTTAGGATTCGAGTGACATAAGCCACACTGCTCTTCTGGTTTCTTTCAGTTGTATTAGTGCAGGGAACAGGCACTTTCGAGAGGGAACTGAGGGAGGATTCCCACAGAGAGATGACGCAGGTGATCACTGTGATTGTGTCCTCCTGACAGCCAGAGACACCTGTCCCCCAGTCCCACACTGGCCCACTTCATGACACAGAGACGCCCCTCACCTGTGGAGGGAACAAGATATAGGTTGTGCTGTTGAAGACTGTGTTTGAGAGCACACAAATGCATAGGTCGTAAAAGGACCCCTTTAAAGGAATAGTTCACCCAATACTCTTATTTCATAGTTGTGCAAAGTTTTTATCTTGAAATAATAGCATTTAAAATAGAAACTTAGCAGACAAGCAGGCCAGATGGTTAAAACCACAAAAAATAATGACTTAAATTCTTAATTAAAATGAGCTGTGCAGGTTGTCTAAATCATCCTTTTAATTATTAATTTTAATAATACCATTCAAAAGTTTGGGGTATGATTTTTTATTTTTTTAAAGAAATAGGCCTACACTAATACTTTTAATTATCAAAGAGGCAAAAGTGACAAACTTTTAATTTTTTATTTTTTTTATTTTTTTATTTAAAATAAATGCTGTTGTTTTGATCATTCTATTCTTCAAAGAATCCTGGAAAAAATATCACGTTTCCGCAAAAAAATTAAGCCGCACAACTGTTTTCAACACTTTTAATAATAAAGAAATGTTTCTTCAGTTGTGACATCACAGGGATTTTAAAATATATTTAAATATAGGTTATTTTAAATTGTAATAATATTTCACAATATTACTGTATTTTTATATTTGGCTTGGTGAAGATAAGAGACTTCTTTCCTAACATCTTATTGACCCCAAATTTAGTGTATCCTATGTGTTAGACAGACTTGCATTGTATTTAAGGTATACGGTTTATTAGTTCACGTATTTCCTGAGAATACTGACTTGGTGTTTTTAGTGCCATGCTCTACGGTTTAAGCTACAGGAATGTTCAATCTTTCCTCCTTTTGTATAACTATGTAATGTATTTAAGGAAGAAATAATCTCAAGATTTGTCAAAGCATGCATTTGTCAAATTTAGTGGCATTAGAGTTTTGATTTATCTGCCCTAACTGAAACAAGTCTGACAAATCTACTGGTGCCACCTTAAAAATAGGTGTCTGGTGCCCCTTCTAGAATCTTACATTGTTCCTTGGAGCAACTCTACAGTGTAATGGAGCTTAGACATAAGTTCTTTTAAGAAAAAAAGCTTAAGAGTCACAGTTCTGTTCCCCTGTCAGATGAGCGTTAATCCTCAGCCTGTAAAGGGATTAAATAGCTTATTATAGAGGAGCGCAGGGAAATCTCTGAATGGACCTTGGAAATGGAAGTGAATGAAAGCACACATTCGCTGGAATAAACTCATTATGATCACTGACAAATTACCTTTTTAGCAGAATTTATCTAAAGAACTGTGGCTGTTTCCTTTGACTAAACATTTGATCTTAACTACTGTATAAGATTAGATCTTTTAATTTAGGATAATGCTGTGTGACTGTGAAAGTATACCATTAAAAGATACATGAACAGTTAGGTAACACTTTACTTGTTGCCTGTATCTATAATACATTACAAAAGTATTCTTATTGCATTAATTATGCCTCATAATACACCTGTAACGCTAGGTGGCTGTTGCTAAGAGCGGACGACGAAGGAGTACACACAAAAATAATCTTTATTATAATCCACACGGAAAACTATGGAGATCGTAGGGGGAAAAAACAACCACATAACATTGGCTTTGAAACAATATCGGACCAAGGAACTAAACAGGGGTGTGTTTCCCGTACAACGATGCTTAACTACCATAGTACTACGTTGCATCGTTGAATAAATCGAACAGTCACGACTGTTTCCCGAAACCGTCGTGTCGCAAATTGGTCGTCCAACCACATAGGTTGATGATGTCACGCAGGTGTTGGAGTAATGACTTCTTTTAATGAATCTGTATGAGATCAAATTCATGCTAGATGTTTTGTTATAAATTATGGACATGGCATCTGAGGATTATTTCTCATTTTTCAATATGTTATTTAGTTTTATTTCTAGATTCAATCATAGTCTCGTTCTTACGTACTAGAGCACGTTCGCGCATGCGCACTATTAAAAAACGACGCTTTAAATCACTTGACAAACTAAAAGACGTAAATGACATTTGTATGTATTCCAAATAAAAGATATAGTTTGCACTGAATGTCAGCTTGCTTATTTTGCTTAAGATAAGGATTTATTGAGTTCACATGTCATGCAAACAAGAAACTATGCTTCTAACCACAGGTTGAGAGCTGTCGTTCCAACCACACAACTTAGCGATGCTGTTTCCGAATGTTCGTTAGAACTAGGTTTCTGGAAACACCGACTCGTTGAACTATACGGATAACGACGGAACATGCGACCATCATTGGCTAACGATGCTTTTGGGAAACGCACCCCAGAACAGGGATACACACAGGCTTAAACAAGGATTAACAAGGGAACACAGGTGAACATAATCTGTAATCAAAAGGAAATAGAACAGGTGCGTGGATTTGGGAACTATGGAAACTAATTGACAAACAGGGGAACAAACTAGCAACTAAAGCCTAGTTCACACTACATGATTTTAAGCCCGATTTAAGCCCGATTTGCAAATCGTTGAGCTCGCCGACAGGTCATGGTGTTATCGCGTGCAAATCGCGGGTGATTAGCGGGCGATGAACGCTCGCCAATCTGTTAGTATGAAAGAGCCAACAACGCATCAAAGACGCTCGCAGACGCATCGCCAAGCCAAGAAAAATATCTAGCATGC